TTGTCGGTGTGGGTGTGGGTGTGGGTGTGGGTGTGGGTGTGGGTGTGGGTGTGGGTGTGTCGGTGTGGGTGTGTCGGTGTGTCGGTGTGGGTGTGGGTGTGTCGGTGTGAGTGTGGGTGGGTCGGTGTGGGTGTGGGTGTGTGGGTGTGGGTGTGGGTGTGTCGGTGTGGGTGTGGTTGTGTCGGTGTGGGTGTGTGTGTGTCGGTGTGGGTGTGGGTGTGTCGGTGTGGGTGTGTCGGTGTGGGTGTGGGTGGTTCGGTGTGGGTGTGGGTGTGTCGGTGTGGGTGTGGGTGAAGAGTACATCCATACCCCACATCCACACCCACACCCTCAACCCCACGTACACCCACGCCCACATCCAAACCCCACACTAGACATGTACCAAACCCAAACACGAGTTCGAGTTGTGATACTGATTTTAACAAGATTGAACTCGACTCGAACTCGAACATATAAACTCGAACTCGATCGAGCTCGAACGCAAAAGTTCGAGTTCGAGTCGAGTTCGAGTTCAAAGGCTCGAGTTCGAGTCGAGTTCGAGTTCAAAGGCTCGAGTTCGAGTCGAGTTCGAGTTTATAGGCTCGAGTTCGAGTCAAGTTCGAGTTCATAAGCTCGAGTTCGACGATGATTAAGTAAAGAGCCATTTTTCTATGGACGAAGTATCGCAACTGAGTATTTGATGACCGACTATATGAGTAGAGGTTTGTTAGAAGTGTGTCAAATCGTCAAATTATGCAATTGACACTTCAGAAAAAGGGAACCTAATTTTATTACTCTGAAAATCAGTGTTGGATCCATATCGTTTCTTCCAAGTTTATTGTATTTATCCCTACAACTAACTTTTTTCGTTCTTTGGATCTGCCCAAGTTGGGATGCAACGGTGACAATAGCCGTAGATCCGGTTACCGATTCAAGTGTGGTAATGGTAGCTAGGGGTGGCACTTTAAACTTAAAGTTAAAGTAAAACGCTTTAAAACTTAAAAACTTTGTTAAAGTGTACACTTTAGACCTTTAAACTTTAATTAAAGTTTAAAGTAACACACTCTAAACTTTAATTAAAGTTTAAAGCAAAACACTTTAAAACTTTAAACTTTAATTAAAGTGAAATACGTTAAAACTTTAACTTAAAAAAAAACATTTAAAGTTAAAGTGCTTGTGCCATAGGTAAGAAACGACCATGCCCAGTTCTTGGGTCCTCGTCTAGCTACCCTAGCGGGTGTACTTGGGTCCTTATATGGCTACCGTAGTAGGGGTACTCAGGTCCTGAAGAGCTATACTACAGGGGATACCATTAGGCCCCCAAGCGCTATACTATAGGGGTATTCTTAGATCCTCAAGACCTATACTACAAGGGTATCCTTGAGTCCTCAGGGGCTGTATTATGAAGGTCTCCTTAGGTTCTCAAGTCCTATAATACAAAGGCACCCTTAGGCCCTCAAGTACCATACTATAGGAGTCTCCTTAGGTGCTCAAGTCCTAGTATAAGGGGGATATCTTTTGGTCCTCAAGTCCTACTATAGGAAGATAACCTTGAGCTCTCAAGTCCTACTATGGGGGGATACCTTTAGGTTCTCAAGTCCCACTATAGACGGATACCCTTAGGTCCTTAAGTTCTAGTATAGGGGAACATCCTTGGGTCCTCAAGTCCTACTATAGGGGATACCCTTGAGTCCTCAAATCCTCCTATAGAGAGATACTCTTAGGCCCTCAAGTCCTAATATAGTGGGATACTCTTAGGTTCTCAAGTCCTGGTCTAGGGGGCACCCTTGGGTCCTCAAGTCCTACTATAAGGGGTAGCCTTTGGTCGTCAAGTACCATTATAGGGAGTACCCTTTTCTTCTCAAGTCCCGTTTTACTATTAGTTGCCAGATACTACGAGAACACAGATTTCCTGAAGTCTGATTGATCAACAGTGGACCAATCAGATTGCATGACGCTCTTTCTCCGTGATAGGTAAGGCGGCATCCTACGCATACACACATCATTCGATAAAGCGTCTTCCATAATCCTAGGATCTGCCCGAACATGACTAGTAGTTGTCCCTACAATAAAAAAGAAAAGGTCACCTCATATCCGATTGGTCGAAAACGGACCAGTCATATCCTGAGTTTCCATTTCTCGGCGATACGTAACGCGGAGTCCCACACATATACCTCTCATTCGATAGAGCGCCCTCAGTAACCCCTGGATTGGCCTCAACATGACTAGTAGTTGTCCGTACAATAGGAAAGAAAAGGCTTCCTCATATTTGATTCATCGAAAAATGGACCAATGAAATTTCAGCAGGGCTTTCCTCTCTTGTTGCCAGCATAACCACCAGTCGTGTTCGGGCCGATCCTAGAGTTATCGGGGACGCTCTATCGGATGAGATGTGTATGTTTAGAGCTTCCCACTGAAATATCACCGAGAAATACAGAGCCGCAACCTGAATGATCCATTTTTGGACCAGTTAGGTTTCTGAAGGCCTGTTCTATCGTCTCATATGAGCAACTACTAGTATGGCAGCACTTGAGAACCCGAGTGTAGTTCCCTATAGTAGTACTCGAGGACCCTAGATTACATCTGTATAGTGAAGCTTGAGAACCCAAGGATATCTTCGTATATTAGGACTTGAGGACCTAAGGGTATCCTCCTATAGGAGGACTTGAGGAACCAAGGGTATCTCTCTCTAGTAGGACTTGAGGACCCAAGGATGTTCCGCTATACTAGAACTTGAAGACCTAAGGGTATTCCCTATAGGAGGACTTGACGACTTAAGGGTATCCCCTGTAGTAATACTCAAGGACCCAAGGGTACTCCCGTATAGTAGGAATTGAGGACCCAAGCGTATGCCCTAAAGTAGGACTTGAGGATCGAAGGGTATCCCCTATACTTGGACTTGAGGGCCTAAGAGTATCCCCTATAGTAGAACTTGAAGACTCAAGAGTATCCCCTATAGTAGGACTTGAGGATCTAAGGTACCTCCATAGTATAGCTGTTGAGGACCAAAGGGTACCTTTATATTATAGCACTTGAGAACATAAGGATGCCTTCATAATACAGCTCTTGAGGACTCAATGGTACCGTTGTAATTGTAGTATAGGTCTTGAGGACCTAAGAATACCCCTATAGTATAGCACTTGAGAATCCGAGCACCCCCGCTAGGGTAGCCATATGAGGACTCAAATACCCCCGCTAGGGTAGCTAGACGAGGATCCAAGAACCGGGCATGGTCGTTTCTTACTCGTGGCACAAGCACTTTAACTTTAACTTTTTTTTTAAAGTTAAAGTGTTAAAATTTTACTTTAATTAGTGTAAAGTTTTAAAGTGTTTACTTTAAACTTTGATTGAAATTTAAAGTGTCACTTTAACTTTAACTTTTTAAGTAAAATTAAGGTGCCACCCCTGCTACAGATTCGAATTTTCCGACCCCGATTATATTCAATCAAACTTTGTAAAATACTCGTATTTTCATCAAATATCGTTTCTTTTGTGATAATTGATTTCGGTTGATGATCGTAGCTATTAGCTACGATTACCATACTTGGATCGATAACCGTATCTACGGTTATTGTCACCGTTGCATCCCAACTTGGGCATATCCAAAGAACGAAAAAAGTTAGTTGTAGGGATAAATACAATAAACTTGGAAGAAGTGATATGGATCCAACACTGATTTTCAGAGTAATAAAATTAGGTTCCCTTTTTCTGAAGTGTCAATTGCATAATTTGACGATTTGACACACTTCTAACAAACCTCTACTCATATAGTCGGTCATCAGATACTCAGTTGCGATACTTCGTCCATAGAAAAATGGCTCTTTACTTAATCATCGTCGAACTCGGTCCAAACTCGATCCTCTGGACTCGAATTCGACTCGAACTCGAGCCTTTGAACTCGAACTCGACTCGAACTTTTGCGTTCGAGCTCGATCGAGTTCGAGTATATATGTTCGAGTTCGAGTCGAGTTCAAACAACTCATATTTGGTCCATGTCTACCCCACACCCACACCCACACCTACCCCACCCCTACCCACACCCACACCCACACCCACACCCACACCCACACCCACACCCACACCCACACCCACACCCACACCCTTTAATTGGTTATTGGATAGAGCAAGTGATCATCTATTTCGGTAGATGCCCAAAGATGCCCGCTTAAACTTTTGTTGAGATATTTGGTTTTTTTACGGCGTCTTGTGACATAATGCCATGGTTCCCCTCAGCTGAACTTGAAAAATCAGCTTTCGAATTTCGACTTGCAACTTTGCACAGAGAGAGGTCTCAATAAAACTAGTTAATTCTGAAAGTTTCAAATTTCTTGATTGCTCCTATCCTTAAATATAAACACTTAACATTTTGTGCTATATTGATGTGAAAAAGAGTATTTTTTCTTGTAGTTGTATCTCGGGATAGAGGGAACCTGAAGATCTCAAACTTTCAGAATAAACCAGTCTCATCAAGACCTTTCTCTGTGCAAAGTTTCAACTCGAAATTCGAAAATTGATTTTTCACGTGAACCCAGGTCGATCATTACGACGATCGTAAACGAGCCGTACACGACCGTTTACGATGACGTAAACGACCGTAACCCAAAAAATTACGACCGTATACGGGCCGTAAATCACCCGTTTTATATGCGCCGTATTACGGCCGTATGACGCCGTGTCGTATACGGCGAAAAACGAACATCGTTTACGAGCGTATTTTTCTGTTGATCACTCTTTGAAGCCGACCCAGGTCGAGCATT